CTGTACAGACACCTCAGTACCCAGACATTTCGCTCTGGGCCATCATGCTCCTGCTGCAGCAGCAGCAGCAACAGCAGCAGCACAGGGTCTTCTTCAGCCACGAGCCCTATGAGTCTTCTGGATAGAGCAACAAACCAACTCCTGCGTATGCTGCGTGGCAGCAGGTCTAGCAGCAGCAGCAACAGCAGCAGCAGCAGCAGCAGCAGCAGCTCAGCAGCAGATGAAGAACAGGAGCAACGCCGGGTGCAGCTGCCGCAGCGGGCTCGCCACGGCAGCGTGGGTGAGGCGCGTCGCCGTTCGTGTGTCTCAGCAGCAGCAGCAGCAGCAGCAGCACCAGCCTCTGCCTCCACCTCCACCACCACCACCAGCAGCAGCAGCAGCAGCAGCAGCAGCTGTGCTGCTGCAGCAGACCCCACAACAGAAGATGTAATACATCTGCTTTCTGGGGCTCTGATGCCCCGCGACGCCTTCGCTCTCTCGGGTGTATGGACAGTTGAACTTCAGGTGTACTGGCAGGAGGATGCATGCGGCAGGGCCCTAGATGCAGCAACAGGCCGGGTGTTGCCTGTGCGGGGCCCCTCACGTTCATACGCCAGCAGCAGCAGCGATGCTAGAAGCGGGAAGAACAGCAGCAGCAGCAGCAGCAACAGAGGAGGCAGCAGCAGCAGCAGCAGCACAAACAGCCCCAGCGCGCATGCAGTTGTCGTTTGCGGACCTGAAGTTGGGCTCGTCCCCGTGGCGTATGGTTTCCCATCAAAGAACAGAAACAGCAGCAGCAGCAGCAGCAGCAGCAGCAACAGCAGCAGCAGCAGCAGCAGCAGCAGCAGCGAGGAGGGATCGTCGCCTCCCGCAGGCAAGCGTGTGGGGCAGGAGGAGAGCTCCCCCCTCATCCCTCCCCCCAGCGACCGCTTTTTCCTTGTCTCTTGCCGAACAGACCTGGTGCGAGACCCGCAGCAGCAGCAGCAGCAGCAGCAGCAGCAGCAGGAGGAACAGCAGCAGCAGCAGCAGCAGCAGCAGAAAGCGTGTGAGCTTTTGCCTGTGCGTGAGGATCAGGCTCTGGCTGAGGAGGAGGCTGAGGAGGAGACAGAAAGCCCCCTCATAGAAGAAGTAAACAAAGTCGAGCTGCTGCTGCTGCATGCATATACAGCAGCAGATACAATGCCTTTCTGCTGCTCCCCATGGCCGCCAGAGGACCGCATGCATCAGCTGTCTGTACACCCCATCAGACCCCTAGGAACCAGAATAAAACCAAAGGTTCATCTTCACCTGCTGCGTAAGCTTGCGGGCTGCAGCAGGCAGCATCAGGCGCAGCAAGCGCGGCGGCAGCAGCGGCAGCAGCAACAGCAGCAGCAGCAACAACAGCAACAGCAGCAGCAACAACAACAGCAACAGCAACAACAAACACCACGCAGAGACCTCACAAGGACAATGCTCTCGCTGCTAGACCGTGTGGGGGGCCTGACGACACCTCGCGCCTCATCTGCTGCTGCTGCTGCCGCTGCTGCTGCTGCTGCTGCTGCAGCAACAGCAGCAGGAGGAGTTGAGTCCCCATTGCGGGCGTCCCAGGTTAGTCTGCCTCCGAGCAACATGAACAGCTCCAGCAGCATTAGCCGTTTGAGCAGCAGCAGCAACAGCAGCAACAGCAGCAGCGCAACCAGCACCATCACCTACAGCAGCAACAGCAGCAGCAGCAGCAGCAGCAGCAGCAGCAGCAGCAGCAGCAGCTATTGCTGGCACAGGTTCTGCCCTGAGGGCACGTATGAAGCCCCAGGAAACAGCAGAAACAGCCGCAGCCCGCTTGAGGAGTCTGAGGATTCATCGGTGGAGTCGGTGATACTGGGTGACGTGCAGATGTTGTTTATGCAGCATGCATGGCAGCAGCAGCAGCAGCAGCAGCAGCAGCAGCAGCAAGAGGAGGAGGATGCACGTGCTGCTGCAGCAGCAAAAGATACAACAGATACCAAAGACACCGTATACACATGCTCTTCTCTTCTCTCTATTAAAATAGAAATACAGCTCAGCCAGAGAAGGCTGATGAGCTTGAGAGAGGCTCAGAGTGAATTCGCTGCAGCAAAGCAGCAGGT